GGGTCAAGATGGTGGACATGACAAAAAATTGCGCAACAAAATGGCGTCCGATAATGCTAGGATTAGTATAGGCATATAAGAACTTTCTAAAATATCGCATCAATGAGCCGCAAATCACGCTTACTTGGCATCGTTTCACATGCTATGCTGATTCAGGAATCTATTAATTCTAACAACTATTTCTAGAATAAAATACACTCACTTCCCGAGCTAATTATTGATATCACATTCACCAGCATAATAAATGAATCTGACAATACACGCCACAAACGTAGACTGCGAAATCTTCAGCTTGGCATCGCAATTGTTTCAATAGCATTCAAAGTTTATATATTCGCCAGCAAAAGTATCTAAATTCCGCAGGAAACTACTTCCAAAATCCTCTAAACGTAGCCATTTTATTCATCCATACATGCTACAAGAGGCCATTTTTATCAGCACAACTACGATAAAATTTTTATACATTGCATTTCTTCTCCGCCGTATTTGTTTTTAAATTAATTATGCTCTTCCCAGTCTCTTACCCTGCCCAGCACGCAAATTTATGCACATTTCTCAGCTAAATACATACATTTATTATACGTGCGTAAACGCGTCAAATTTGGAAATTTCTTCGATCGTGCCACAAATAGTGGTTCTGCTGTTGTAAAAAATGTCAGACAATCTTACATTAGTTAATCGCAGTAAAATAAAATGGAATTTAGCAGTCAGCACGGAGTTTCCCCTTCAATATATTAACAACACGATTTGTCTTTGAAGAATGAGCCGCCATTTTGTTTGTATTTTTTGATGAATCATCATTTATGCGTAAAACCGCTGGATACGATTGCGGACGAAAAATGTCCCACATTTCTAGTAATGAAAATACGTAACAAACAACAGAGTAGCATACCTGACGTCCTGACGAACAACCTGGAACTTTAATTAATTATACGGAGAACTTTAATTAATTATATATATATATATATATATATATATATATATATATATATATATATATATATATATATATATATATATAATATTTAACACACAGGTCTACGGTAAGAAAACGCACACTGACCAAATACTGAATTTTAACAGCAACCACCCTACTCAACGCAAAATAAGCTGTATAAGAAGCTTATTCAACCGAATAGATACGCACTGTAAGACAGAACAAGCTAAACAAACAAACAAACAAACAAACAAACAAACAAACAAACAAACAAACAAACAAACAAACAAACAAACAAACAAACAAACAAACAAACAAACAAACAAACAAACAAACAAACAAACAAACAAACAAACAAACAAACAAACAAGCAAGCAAGCAAGCAAGCAAGCAAACAAACAAACAAACAAACAAACAAACAAACAAACAAACAAACAAACAAACAAACAAACAAACAAACAAACAAACAAACAAACAAACAAACAAACAAACAAACAAACAAACAAACAAACAAACAAACAAACAAACAAACAAACAAACAAAACAAACAAACAAACAAACAAACAAACAAACAAACAAACAAACAAACAAACAAACAAACAAACAAACAAACAAACAAACAAACAAACAAACAAACAAACAAACAAACAAACAAACAAACAAACAAACAAACAAACAAACAAACAAACAAACAGAACGCAAATATCTATACTCGACTTTCATGAAAAACAACTACCCTAGGAACTTCATTAACAAAATACTAACAAAAATACGTAACAAACAACAGAGTAACATACCTGACGAACAACCTGAACAATCAAGGACAAGAATAACTCTACCTTACATAAACAGTACATCTGAAATGACCGCCAGATTATTGCGACATTTCAACATTGACGTAGCACACAAACCGGCACATAAACTTAGGTCATATTTCACAAAACACAAAGACAAAACAGCATCAAAACAAACAAAAAATGCTATATACATGATACCTTGCAGAGACTGTCCAGAACGATATATATTTCAAACCTCGAAAAAAGTTGAAACACGAATAACTGAACACAAAAACGCCATAAAACGATACGATTATAAATCACTACCTGCAGCACACACATACGACAACTGCCATACCTTCAACTGGACAGAAACGGAACTATTAGGACGAGCACAAACAAAACACGCACGTGAATTTAAAGAGGCATGGTACAGTATGTCTGGTAATACAATTAACCGACACGTTGAAATTCCCACTATTTACTTACAACTTAAAACAACACGTAAATGTCCTACTAATAACGATACTATGACTAATACTAACTTCCAAATAACACTTCCTTCAACATCCGCCACACAACAATCCAAACATTCCAATGACGCCATCCCTAGCAGAAGAATTCACTCAACCATGACACTATGGATCAGATCAACCGCGGAACAGCCAATTAGACGGTCTCGACGTATACAAGAACATAGCAACACCGCATATAATATTCTGATATTTAATAGACTTCTTGATATCTCGGCTACATGTAAACAACTGAATATATAATGTCCATGTTCTAAATATAAACTAATCGTAATGCGTGCGTTAATGATTAATAGACGTACATTACTATACCATTCCCTTTGTTTTAACTTGATTGTCAAATATCAAAGTTTTTAATTCAATTTGAAGTTATTTAGCTATTTCATTGTTATGTTAGTTTATTAGATTTGATGGATATTCATGTCCGTATCGATTCGGTGGTCTTCGAATTCGGCTTGATCTTCTTGGTACTTCGTTGTTTTCATTACTGATAGATGGCTGATTGTCCTGCGAGTTTTCTTCATAATCGAAACCTTCGTCATCAGTGTCTTCTTCTCGTGGTTTATTTATTCGCTTGAAATGTGACACGTTCCGTTTCACAATATGACCATCTTTACTTTGGGCAAGTATCTCTGAACCAGTTTTCTTTATCACTTTAATACGGTTTGTGATTAAAATTCGCAGTTAGCTTGTTTTTCTTTTCTTGTCTAACCAGTACATAGTCTCCAACTTGTAGATCACTTTTTCTTGTGTTTCTCCTTTGATTTGCATGTTCTCGGTTGTGTTCTTGTCGTGTTTTCTCATTGTCTCGAGCTTCTTTATGTCGATTGACAATCTTCTTGCTGTTTATAACTGGTAATTTTCCTTTTATCACTCGGTTAAACAACAGTTCTGATGGAGGTACTCCTGTAGTGCAATGTGGAGTGGTACGATATTGTAAAAGAAAACGGTTCAATTCTTGTTTCCATGGTCGTCCTTCGAGTGTCGCTGTCTTGAGCGCTTTTCCTAACGGTCGCATAAATCGTTCAACTGTAGCATTACCTTGGGGCCAGTAGGGCTTTCAGATATCGTGCATATTCGTCTCCGTTAAAAGGGGGACGATTGTTAGATATAATGGTGTCAGGAATGCCATGGAATGAGAACATTTTGTCAAGTTTTGGAATGACTGTTGAGGCTCGTGTTGAATGAACGATCTCATCCTCTGGGAATCTGGAGTATCTATCTACCGCCACTAACAGATATTCAGACGATGGTAGTGGACCATAAAAATCTATGTGGACAGTTCTCCATGGTAACTCTGGCATTTCGGTCATACGTAATGGTTCTGGAGGATTCGCCTGTCCGACAGCTTGACAAGTGGTGCACTTAGCAATTGTGTTTTTGACTTGGTTGTCAATTTGTGGAAACCAGATTTTTTCACGAATTAGAGACTTCGTTTTCTCTATTCCTAAGTGTGTCTCATGTGCTATATCTATTGCACGTTGTTGCGTGTTCCTCGAAGTATAACACCGTGTGTGGTAGACGTAAGTTCGTTTTTTACGGCTTTGAACGGTTTTACAATTGGGGAATCCCATTTGTTTGTTTTAATTGCATCATAGAGTGCCGTTAGTGCCGCGTCTGCGTTAGTTGCATTGATTATTTCTTGTGATGTCATCGCCTCATCTTCTCCTGTTTTCGTTTGCTTTCGTTTGTTGGATGACGAGAAAGATAGTCCGCAGGGTTGCTGGCATGCACCTGATTTGTAAATTATCTTAAATGTATATGGTTGGAAGCGAAGCATCCATCTTTCAATTCGCGCTGATGTTTTGGTTGTACGTTGGCCATAAATAATTTCTAACGGTTTATGGTCAGTTATTAGTGTAAATTCACTTCCAAATAAAAATAAATGGAAATGTTCAACCGCCCATACTATCGCTAACGCTTCTTTTTCCGTCTGAGAGTATCTCTTTTCTGTATCAGTCAGCGCTCGGCTGACATATGCAATTATCTGTTGACTGTCTACGTCACCGTTTCTTGGTTTCTGAGAAAGAATTCCAGAAATTCCTACAGGACTAGCATCAACTGTTACAAAAGTTTGTTTGTTTTTGTCGAAATATGACATACATGGAGCAATTGCAAGCGTGTTTTTCAGCTTTTCAAAAGCAGTTTGGTGTGTTTGAGTCCACTCAAAACGAACATCCTTTCTCGTCAGGTCACGAAGGGGAGCAGTTAGTGTTGCGAAATCTCGAATGTACTTACTACTATAGTTGGCCATGCCAAGAAAGCTCCTGACTTCATGTGCATTATTTGGCTGAGGTGCATTTTATTAATAGATCAGCTACTCTCCTAGGATCAGGATGAGTACCTTCTTTCGAAAAGACCTGTCCGAAAAATGACAATGTAGTACTAAGGAAATTACACTTGCTTCGGTTTAGTCGTAAGCCCTTCATTGCAAGTCGTTGTAGACATTTGTCAAGATTAGCGTCATGTTCAGTTCTTGTTGAGCCGAATACAATGATATCGTCAGCTATGTTCTTGACGCCTTTAAGCCCTTGCAGTGCAGTTTGGAGTGTGTACTGAAATATCTCCGCTGCAGCGTTTGTACCATAGTTTAGTCTTTTGTAGCGATACAAACCTACATGAGTGCTAAAGGTTGTTATATAACGAGACTGCAGTTCATCCAGTTCTAACTGATGATACGCTTGGCTCAAATCAAGTTTCGAGAAAAATTTTGCTCCATTCAGGGCAAAACTAACATCATTTACTGTTGGTATAGGATGGCGTACTCGTCTTATAGCTTCATTTGCGAGCCGCATATCGACACATATGCGAACCTGTCCATCTTTTTTGGGAACAGCTACAATTGGTGAAACCCAAGCAGTAGCTTCATTTTCGGGCACTTTTTCAATGACATCTTGATTTTCTAATTGCGGCATCCTTTGATGTCAGTTTGTCTAGATGCAAACTAATAAGTCCGAGTTCTTGTGCAGTAGAAAGAGAAAGTAAGTTTCCACAGTTCGCAGCTTTACCCACATAGAATGTGGCTACAGATATTCGATTTCGTGTTTCGATTACCACTTCGAATTTTCCCAAAAATTCAACTGGTGATTTCGTATTATACGCGAAAGCTTTCGTGTTCGTGCGAGTTAATTTTATGTCTTGCATTTTGTTAAAAGTGTCACGATCGATCACATTTATTGCCGCCCCACTGTCAATTGTTGTTTGAAATTTGACACCGCCTACTTTAACATTGACCTTGTTATTGTGCTTTGTATTTGTCATGGTATATAAATAGTCTTCATCGGAACTCGAGTTTGATCCTGTATCTAATGTTTTTAAATTTCTTTGTCTAATGTTTTTAAATTTCTTTGTGCATGCTTTTTGTTTGAGTATCTCGGTGATCGCGTTTGTTTTTGTTTTCCTCGACAAACAGCAGCGAAATGATTCGGTTTTCCACAATTATTACAGGTTTTCCCTTTCGCTGGACATGCCCCTGTGTGTGGATAAGCACGCCCACAATTTCTGCAAATAACATTACTACTGTTCGAAATACTACCGTTACTAGGTTTTTGTTCTAATTTATTAGCCTCACCGTCAGTTTGTTCTTTAGATTCTATTTGTTGAGCTTGGTACTTGCTCTGTTCGTCACGACGTCCTTCTAAAATTATTGATTTTAAGTCAAATGTAGGATCACGCAGTGCTCGCTTTCGTATTTTCGATGAATTTCCGCCTATAATGATTTGTTCTTCGATTTCAAATTCAACGTCTGCGAATTCACAGGTTTCTGACATTGTTCTAAGTCTGGTGTGAAATTGATCTAATGTCTCATTGTGTTCTTGAGTTGTTTGTCGAAAACGATAAACTTCGTACCGCCGATTCTTTTGAGGGTCGAAGTAAGCCTTTAATTTCCGTTTTGCGATGTTGTAGTCCGTATCAGTTCCTGTCTCGGGGATTTGTTTAAAAATCTCGCGAACTCTCGGTCCGGCTTGATATATAGCAAGAGTGCACGTTTTCGCTTTGAATCCGTTATTCCACTTGCGGTTATATATATTTCGAAGTCTGACTGCCAATTGTTCCATCTTGTCGAAAGGCTTGTTCCGATTTTTGCATCTGGGCAAAATTCTGGCATTGGAGTTATTGTTACAGATTGCATGATCTGTACAGCCGGTTGCTGCAGTGGTTGAGGCTCTGCCTGCTCTTCCACCATCGTTTCGTTTAATAGAATATACGTTTATCTTCGTCGCCATTGTAATATTCTGATATTTAATAGACTTCTTGATATCTCGGCTACATGTAAACAACTGAATATATAATGTCCATATTCTAAATATAAACTGATCGTAATACGTGCGTTAATGATTAATAGACGTACATTACTATACCGCAATTAAACTTTAATTAAATAATGTACATATGTAATTTTAATCTCAGTATTCTGAAGAAGGCTCGAAGTACCGAGTCGAAAGCTCAATAAACTATATTTCAATCCGGAGAACTTTAATTAATTATATAATTATCTTTATCTATATACCGGTATATATCTATATATATCTATATATATATATATATATATATATATATATATATATATATATATATATATATATATATATATATATATATATATATATATATATATATATATATATATATATATATATATATATATATACTATATAATATGTTAAGATGAAAATGTTCTAGAGTGTGTATTATATAATTTCCATACCCAGCGCAAGCAGAAAGATGTTGTCTGCCGCGGCTGGGTCTTGAACCCGCGACCTTCGAATTACTAGATCGACGCTCTACCAACTGAGCTACACGGTCAGACGGATTTAAGATAAGATTTTATATATATATATATATATATATATATATATATATATATATATATATATATATATATATATATATATATATATATATATATATATATATATATCGGTACAGGGGACGGGCGCGAATACCTAACAAACACAAGCGATTATTAAGAATAGTGTGCAATAACTCTGTCATTATCTTAGGACTCTATAAGTAAACCGCCAGCGTTACACACAAAATCTCAGTTGCTTCTAAAGAAAGTTTAGTTTGCGCACTGCTATAAGCGTATCAGAATTTAGAATTATTTTCATGTATAGTATTTACAATGCTCTTTATTTTGCAAATGCAGTTGGTGCTCCGGTCGAAGTAGAAAAGAACACAACACCAAGTCAAGAAGAATTGGATGAATTACACACACGATACATCGATGCACTGGTGCAACTTTTTGAAGACAACAAGGAAAAATACGGTGTGCCAAAAGAAGCCGAGCTGCAATTTGTTTGAAATGCAAAACGGAAACATTCATCGCATCAACAGCCTGCACCTGATTAAACTAGATAAGTAAATTATAAGCGTGATCAAATAAAATCAAGCGTAATATTATATTCCTAATCCTCATCCCAAGCTGTATTCTAATCAATCTCGTACCCAGAGCAATGCCTGTGCGCGGGCTAGGATGGCATTGGCTCTGGGGAAATTGAATTTTTCCTGTGCTGTGATTGGTTTAACGTTTATCAATCGTGCATGCCGACAAAGAACCGGAACCCCTAAATTTAAGGGTTCCGGTTGTCAATTTCCCCAGAGCCAATGCCATCCTAGCCCGCGCACAGGCATTGCTCTGGGTACGAGATTGTATTCTAATATTAAGATACTGTGACGTCATTTCGGCACATTCAGTTTTACGTAATGTTTGACGTTTCTGTCTATTTTCAGTAGAATGAAGTCGAGGCTGTACGTTTATGATGCCACGCACAGTAATTCTGAAAATGCTCGATAAATAACATATAGCGCACTTTAGTGAAGAAGTATTAAGCTAATTTATATATATTATAAATTCTCAGGCCGGTTAATGCCTGGCTCTTGTTGGCTCTGCCCACGCTGACTTGATATGTCCGCGCGAGTTGCGCGCGCGATTCAACATATCCAGCGTGTTGCCGTTTGACTGCGTTTTGCCGTTCGATTGAAACTGAAATTTAATAACTATGAGCTGTTGGATTATTTTATATTATGTTAGATTATAGCAACCAGCAGGGATGAGTAAATTATCAGTTTATCTTGTACAATTGGCCGTTGTATAGTATAATATATCATATTATGCGATATGCGGCGACCTTTGAACTTTGATATATAACGCTTTTGCGGGATTTTATGTCTCAACAAGACGCCTACTCAGGCGTTCACACTGGCCTGAAAATAACGAGATACATTCTATGGCGCAAAAGGCAGGAATACAAATCTTAAACCGCAAGCAAATTTTATGGACTTTTTAAAAAAATAAAACACCTTTTCGGGAGACGTAATGGTGCAAATCTATTACTAGCAGTTACTTTCGCAAGGAAAGTGCTGGCCTTTATGGCGTATTAACAGAATGCAAAAATTTATACTTCTAGACAATTCTCGGTTATATCCCCAATGTTTCCTTCTCGTCCATCATTTAAGCCCATTCACAAACTCATAATTCTTAAATTGTGTGCACGGAATACGAGTAAATAGCCAACATGAAAATGAAGCCATTGGGTCAAAAGTGGATATTAAGGTCTATTACAATACACACTACTTTTGTCTTAACTCTGGCTAACGCCAGACCAATTTACACTGTAACGCCAGACGATTTTACTTGTTAGTGGCAGAGTACTGTCAGTAAATGGGTTAACAAACACATCTGACATTGGTAATCCATTAACAGGCAATGTACCGCTTTAGTATTCTTTAGTAACTCTTCAGAATTTGCTCAGAGTCAATGTGAGTAAAATACATCTTGTATTCAAGCGCTTTCATGTACAAAGTTTCGTTTGAATACGGCACAGAGTAGGAATATTTATTTTGAATTTTTCAAAATATCGGGTTTTTACTCGCACGCACGTTTATAGCTCGATTGATGGACGTGCAAATCATGCCGTCCTTGTTTTGACTTTTGATCGCCATAAAAATCCCAAGACACAAGCTTGAAAATAACACTTTCGATTCTGGTTCCAATAATATTATTACGAAAAAGATATGTCCAAAGGGGCCGAAGTTATGTTCGGCAAAATGTATGTCCATGGCTAGTTTACATTGTTTGTTATATTATGAAATATGATACCATACTTGTATTAAAATTTGCGTCGAACTAAATGTTATTGTATTAGGCAAATGAGTAGACTTGCAACAAGTCGACCTCGAACGAAATGCGTACGTTTCTTCGAGGTTGACTTGTGGCAAGTCTAGCAGATGAGAACCATACATGTCAATAATGGTCCCAGTTCTTGTTGGTATTTTGAACGCACGCTTTATCTTTAGTATAGCTACCACATGACAAAGCCTTTCGCGCGGATTATATTTCGCGCAGTACTAAAATTTCCGCACCCAGCGGCCAGCGCTACTAATTCTAGTACTGCACGGATTTTAATACATGTATTTAATTAAAGGTATATTGTCGACATTTGACTAAAAATATCGTAAGGAATTAAGTACACAAGGGATGTTATGAGTCCACGACGTATATTTATTGTTGTTTATTAAAAAGTCAAACTGTCAAATATCCTTCTATATATTGTATAAATTCGCTGGGTCCAAATTTTGTGGTTTTCGAGTCGTTATACAAAGAAAAACACATTAATTCAACACGCAAGAAAGTCCAGAGTTCGACACAACGTAAATTCCATAGGAAACCGGCACAATTCTTTTAAAATTCAACGAAACTGTGTAAAATATAGTTTGATCACTCTGTGAAAAGTCGCCATTGGAGTTCGGAATTGTGCGCGTGCGTACAAGTGTATGGGCTAATAAACGAAAATGTACCACAAGCATGGCATGAGTCGGCTATTACGTACATAAATACCGAACTTATTACTATGCTATCTAAATCATGGAACCGAGGAAATCAATGGCATTTTGGCTTAATGGTTGCACCATAAGCCTGCGATGAGCTAACGCAAACTCGATTTCTCGACTACGAAAAAAACAGAAAAAGGGGGATTTAAGACACTTGGCCCTACAGGCCAGTGTAATTATTCAACATCGATATGTGATTCCTCTTTAGTTTCCCACTCACAGAAAAATATTTGAAATACAAATAAGTACTCAGCATATGGATGGTTCAAACTTTTTGGTGTGGTGTTGTTTAAGTGTGACATATTTCTCTTAAAAACTTGAGGACGCAATAAATGTTGTTGTTGAAATATAATATCCTTTCATATAAAGACTCAGACTCCTGTCGAATATTCTCTCAATATATAAACGAAAATATGTACTTATAATATTGTACTTCTGTACACATTTTTCTCTGTGTTCCTCGCATATTATTTGAATACACTACTTACTAGTTGTAAATGGTTTTCAGTTATTGTGTATTTGTATTTCATAATATTTTGTTTCACGGCAGGGGCTTATATTAATGATAATGGCGAGCGCGAATTCATCACGCAAAAAACGCGTTGGACTTGCCGACTTACAAGACAACGTTAATGTCGGTCGCTAATACGTAGATTTTGTCCAGAGTACAGCCAATTTTGGTCCTACAATTAGATTTGTAAGCATTGTAATCTGGAACGATCGTTTTAGTGCAAATTATATTGACATTGTGCGAGACATTGTTGTAATCACAGCAATATTTTCATATCAGTGGCATAATCTTTAAGTTCCGAATTACCACATTGCAGTATAAGAGTAAAAGGTTCCGTGATAATATTTTTGTACATATCCATGAATGTTTAGTAAGTCGGCAAGCCGTGTTTATAAACATTAAGTTAATTTCCATTATCACCGCCTATATCTTGTCACGTGACCAGTTTCCATGGAAACCAAATAGTTCAAAAATATCGGCAGATGATTTTCAACATCTCACCCAAAAATAAGAGTCGTAGTGTATTTAATTAATTTTTAAAGATTTTTTCTATTTTCCCACTCCTTACGAAATTGGAGCCAGGCATTAATGCACCTGAATTTAAGTTAATGAGCAATGCTGTCCACAAATTTAGTCTAATTTATATGACAATCGATTTGAATATTTTGCGTGCGGTACAAAGGTCACAAACCCACAGCTGTCATTTGTATCAAAGGTCATCTTTGTATTGGCAAAGCGTACACGTGCACATCTCATGACCAATTATCTTTCAGCCATTCGAAATATATCTTTGATGGCATCAAAACATGTAACCAATCATAATTCGGTCAAGCCAGTAAAATAGACCAAATACACCTGAAAGAGATCACTTGTTTCAAAGTC